ATATCGATACAGCAGAGAACAAAGAGCCGAGGAACATCATGCAACACCTCCTCCAATACGCTAGCTACGGAATCAATTATGGAACGCTCTAATCATGGCCAGTCTGCTGTACTTCAATCAGACCTTCAGTGGCTTGCTACGGGGCTATCCTACACAACCGTATTCGCCGTTATGCGATTCTTCGGCTTCCCAGAAATACTCATCGCCTTCTTCAGAAAGGTGCTCGAGGCTCCGCTTAACGTGGTCCCGTCTTCCGATGCATCGCCTAGTCGAGGGCCGAGAATTCGCAGGCGAGGTCTACCTATGGCCCACGCGCCCCAAAAGCTCATAGGCGAAATAGTTCTCTCCGTAATGGACTTGGCTGTCAACCAGAAGGCACGGTTGCTTCTGTACCGCCTACACGACGATCTATTCCTTTGCGGTAGCCCATCTAGCGTTGCCCAGGCATGGAAGGCGATGAAAACAATGGCGAAGGTCATGGGGTTAGAGTTCAATATGCACAAGACCGGTTCAGTCTACCTGGCCGAGGGTGGGAATATCCCAAACACCGATCCCGCTATCGATCTGCCTAAGGGGGTGGTCAGGATTGGCCATCTTGTACTAGACCCGACGAGTGGCGAGTGGGCCTTGGACCAGAAGCAGGTAAACGAGCATGTCACGCAGCTCGGAAAGAAGCTTGGAAAGCAGCTTGTGGCGTGCACTAGCATTTTGGACTGGGTCAGCACATGGAATAATTGTATGAGCCGATTCTTCCGCCACACGTTTGGGGAGCCGGCGTACTGCTTCAGGGTTAGGCATATCGACAGCATCTTGGAAACATATCAGCAGATGCAGCGCATTCTCTTCGGTACGCGGGGCTTGATGTCGGGGGACGGAGACGACAACCTGCAAGGCAACGTGGCCCAGTACTTGAAATCCAAGATCAGATCCCGCTTGCTTTGGCATACCGAGTGTTCCCGACGCCTTCATCTTCTTCCCCGAACAGCTCGGCGGCCTGGCCATCAGGGTGAACTTCGACGGCAGAGCCTCGAGCCCGGACGGAATCATGCGCGATTGCCTAAAGAGTAAGGCGGACTACGCGAGTGCCCGCAAAGCGTTCTTCGCACACAAAAGCGTCGAAAACCGTCTACGGATCCTCCACGAAAGCAGCCGGGGTACTGCCTCTTACGAGACCCTACAGAGCGATACCCCCCGTGCCCTCAGCCCCGGAAGCGGCGTGACGTTCTTCAGCTTCGAGGAGTACAGCCTCTGGTGGGATTCTACCAGCGCACCGCTCCATGCGGCTTACGTCAAGCTCCTCGAGACCCCGCCAGCGAGCGAGCCGGATATGGAGGAGGAGTACATGGAGGACATTCTGAAGGAAGTGTCGGAAAGCGGGCGGGGCCGGTCGTTGGGGTTGCAAGAGACGCGGTGGGCTCTGCAGATGTACGGCGACGATCTCAAGGATCAATTCGGAGATCTGAGCCTCTTCGATGAGTACGACATGCCTCTGGGGGTGCTGGGGATGATGAGGCGCAAGGCAGTCAGGTGAAATTTGGTTCTGTGATCTGCTTGCGTTTCCACATTCTCATGATAGGTTCGCGGCTGTGCGACAGGGCAACTTCATTTACGGGTTTTTTTTTCGAACTAGACTTCAGTGGAAATTTTAATACGATCTGATAGGTACTGATCACCATAGTATATAAGAGTGTAAGGCATATAGGATAGGCTAGGTACATAGGTATAAATTGATGACGACCAACAGTTCGTGTTTTGGGTCCCTTGGATAAAGCCTGAGCTACAACTCCGCAATACCTAATATACAGATTACCTATAACCAGACTGGGGTTATCATTTGGTTGGTCTTACATATGGACCTATCTATGTATGTAGTTGGTTTTGGAACCCTAAACTCTTTGAAATATCCCTTACGTATAAAGGGAAACAGCCAAGTTGCGAAGGCCAATTTCGAAACAGTAGGAGACATTTAGATTATTTTCTAGGTTTTGATTTGGTGTGATTAAGAATAGTTCGGCATGGGGTTCCATTAGGAGTTGTAATGATGTTAGAGAGCCAAGTCTCCCACACTGTCAGAAACCAACTTAAATATAGCGAACGCTTGGACCACCACCAGTTTCTATAAACCATTCAACATAGACATTCGATCTATGATTTTAGGGGAGGTTTCCATAACGATGTACTAGGGTTTTATATTTAGCCTGCAGGCTTGAAGGTCTAGTTAATACAAACAGGTTCCATGTGAATGGCCTGTTGCAGACTATGTTCTAGACTTGATTTAACGTTGCCGCCTTATCTGAATTACGTCAACATCAGCGGCAACGATACCTGCATATACAACGCAGATATATAATATTTTAGACACTACCTCGATTCATTTAGCCCTGGAGGAAAGGTTGCTAAGTTCAATAGTTTATTACACGGCCAGTCTTGATTTGACAGGGTACCTATATTCATTATCAATTAAACTCTGTAAGGTCAGAAACCTCACGAGTACCAGACCTAACTAAAGAGTTAAAGCTTACTTCCCTCCTCCCTCCTCAGTCGGATTATTCCGATTCAGGCATTTATTTCGTAGTGCTAATGATCAAGTATTCCGTCATGCTTGTCGAATGACACCTGGTGCAGTAGAAAGTTGTGGCTGAATCACAAGATTCCCTGTTTGGTGCTCGTTTCAGGCCATCTGGCCAATCAGCATCCATTGCCGAGCCACCATATGACGTCGAGGCGTGCTGCTAGCCACACTACGTCTTCGTACGCTATCAGGGAACTCAGAGTTGGTTGAACTTGTAATCGATCATAAGACTGGGCGTTTATTAAAAGCCGGGCCTCTGTGCTTCCTGGAATGACTCTAGCTTTTGAAAACTTCCAAATTACTGCTACTTTACAAGCACTATTGCAAATATCAAAAACCGCCATTCCTGAACAGCCTTCTTTCCATAACTTTGAGAGTAAGAGCCTTGAACATCCTCTGAAGGATTCCCATTTGACCTACGTCACAAAATGGCTTCCACGATGGACTGGGCCAAACAGAAGTACAATGAGCAGTACGAGGTCTGGATGCCCTGGATCGAGGACAACTTCCTGAAGTACTTCACCAAGGACAACAAAGTCAGCTATACCACCAAGGGTAAGTTCTCACATATACTACTCGATCAACCCAGGCTCAAGAAACGAGCCACTGCCCTCCTTCATCCACTCAACTGCCAATACGCTCCTCCCTCACCTCAGCTACGTTCTATGCTAACCAGAGGGGGACCTAACAGAACAACTTAACAAGACGAAAGTTACCGGCGTCGACCAAGTCGATACTTTGCAGGACGGTGTACATGGCCTTGTGGCTGGGCAGGTTGGACAGGGCGGGCTCCTGCAGCCTATCGGCGACCTCGTATCGAAAGAGGGCGTGAACCGCACCGAGCGTCAAGGCAAAGACGATAAAGGCGGCTACATTCCTAGCATCCCCGGCTTGTAGTTGAAACTTGTACCAGAGCCAGCCGGACCCTAGACGGGCCCCAGGGCAACGTGAGGGTAAATTACATACACATGGGCAAGGAAATGTATCTCTGGAAGGGGAGACATGGTGGTAGTATGTGTGCCATTGGAATAAGATACGAGTCTTTCGGAGTTCAGGTCATTAACGTAGGAGTTTATTTACTGTGAAGGATGAGCAGGATAATAACTGAGTTATCAATCATATCATGGAAGTTACGTACGAATTCAAGATTGAAGGATTCTTGCTGTCGGCTATCGGATTGTATCCCTTCCCTAGTATCGGAACTTGATATTAATTACGATCTCCCTCTTCTCTCTCCATATTTAAGCAGATACGACCGAATATAGGGGCCTAACACGAACACTGAAGCGATGACCTCTTAACTTCATTCATCAAGAAAGTGGTGCCTGCAGCGATCTCACGTGGCTTTGTGTCAATATGGTTAAGCCTACATAGAGGTTTACAGCACTAGGTCAACGAATCCCGTCATCTAGAAGCTGTCACGGCAGTGCTATGCCAACCACACCACTACTCCACCGCTCCTAAAGAAGTAACAGAATATCAAGTCCAACGACTTGATACCTAGGTTGGACTATATGCCATATGACGGGTGACCAAGCCGTCACAGAGGCTCTGCTCATATATGTACCTTATCACGAACTATGACCTATATATACGGCGAGCGACCTCCACTCCTTTCTTCTCCAAGCTGGTCACGAGACGATGAGTCCAGCATTTCATTGCGGTAACTGAAGTGCGCGGACGTGACAACTCTCGGGCAGTGGACTTAGACAAGTCGACACAAGCATCTATCTCCCTCGTAACCTAGGTCGGTAGACAGCGCGGTCGAAGAGATGATGCGGTGCGGTGCATTGAGCGGACACACCGATACATGCGCCCGCGAAGACCGTACCGAAACGCCCCGAGCTATGTATGCGGTGTGCTTGGGAGAACTTATGATCCCGTTTCAGCAAAACTTTATGTCTAACTAATACCTAGGTCGATCGGCGACAGGCCCGCGTGCATGAGAGGAGTAACAATAGCCAGCATCGTGGGCCAGGTATTAGAGAGGGTTTCCGTCCGGCCATGGAATTGGCCTCGATGGATTCAATCGAACAAGTTGAGCGCTGGCTCGCGAAGGACGATGAAGGTAAAGACCGTATTCGTTAGGGGGTGTTCTATGTCCCTCCCTGACGCTATCTCAGGGTCCTCCTAAGCCTCCAGTGACAATTCCATGCTACCTACCGACCGGCGTGTTACTTAATGCCCAAAGTGTTGCGATAGAAGATTAAGGCTAAAAAAAAGAAAGGAAAACTTACTTGTTCTTGAAACTCAAACGCGATACCACCATCAATCAATCAATCAATCCTCTTCTTGCCACGGATAGATAGATGATAGATAGACTCACTGCCTCTATCTAGAAGGTAGGCACATAATAGCAATTGAGCTACATACAAACCAAAGAAAACGAAAAGAAAAAGAATGGACAAATCGCCAAAAAGTATTTATCTGCCCACTACTGGAGTCGAACCAGTCGCCTCCTCATATCTTAGTAATTTTATTACTAGTGAGGCGCTCTACCGCTGAGCCAAGCGGGCCTTTTTTTCTCGTTATCGTTAACGTACCAGCTCGCTCTTTGCTTTCTGGGATGTTTTTCGACGACGTTATTGGCGTACATATATAATGTTATACGAGCTTTTTGCGCAGATTTGCTGTGGGCTTGTGGGCTTGTGTGGGCTTATGGGCTTCGCGAACCGCACAACGTAACGTTGGGACGACGAATAGGAAAGTAACCAGGTTAGCCTAGATTGGGGGAAGGGGGCTTGTTGTGGATATGCGGTGGTGTAGGTAAGTTGTTGCAAAATTGAATCAAGTGCATACATGTATGTATTATGGAAGTCTACTTTAAGATGATTTGTTTAGTTAATTGGTTGTGCGATAGTTAAGCAGTAAGCGACTGAATTAACCAGACTGGTCTATAGATAGCTAACCTACCTACCTGGTACCTTGCTTGTATAAATTAGGCCTTTCGTTCATCAGAATGCGGCGGTCCTTGAACACCATTAATTAGGTACTAAAGCAGGACTCCCTTAGTAAGGAAACTTATTTCTATTTTCCAAACTACGTGGGATTAAAGCACCTTGAAAGTAATCTATGCGTAGCAAACCTTGTCTAATAGTAGCTAAAGTATCTGTCTAGAATGTACGACCGACCCGCGCAAGTCGCAAGTGAGATGCACCTATCTATCATCTCTGTTCATCCCATCCGCCTGTCTATAAAAACGCCCAAAGAAACCATTCACGTTATCTATAATTGTCGGCCTCGATCGGCCCACGTACCGCGTCTTTATGAATTATCTAACCCAGAAAGAGCCGAGTCGGCAAAGCCGAAAACCACCAGCCGCATAATCGAGATACATCCATCGAAAGTGTCGTAGATTCCAATTAAACACAACCAATTAATCCCGTCATTATTCGTCATCATCTGTATCCAGCGGGTGAGGCGTGCCCTTGGGGCTATTGAGCCACTCGATATGACGCAGTCTTCGCCGCACCTCTTGTTCCTTGAGCTCCTTCTTGGTCTTCTTTCTCTTCTTCTTGGCCTTGAATTTCAAGGGCGTGTTGTCTTCCGCACCACTGTTAACTGCGCTAGTAGCGGCGCTGCTAGCTGCTGTGCTGGTGACGCCGCTGGTGAGACCACTGTTTGGCTTGCTGCTGTCCTCAAAGCGGTCTAGAGAGATAGCCGCGTTGCCCTTCATCGTCATCCGTCCGTCATTGATGTGCCACTGCTCACTGGCAAGCGCACCGACGAACTCTTCGTTGTGAGAGATCATGACAACACCACCCTTAAAGTCCCGAATAGCAACAGCAAGGCCACCCAGCGAATCACGGTCCAAGAAGTTAGTGGGTTCGTCAAGAACAAGCAAATGCGGGTTGTTCCACATAGCGCCAGCAATGACAACCTTGACCTTCTGGCCCCCCGACAAGCTGCCAATCTCGTTGTGGTTGGCAATCTCGGGGTCGAGACCAAGATCCTCAAAGTGCTTGGAAATAATAGTTGGCTGGAGCTCACGGTATCCAAGACCTTCACGAGATGCCTCGTGATCATCAAACTCCTGGACAAGCTTGTCGAAGCCCCATTCTAAAAGGGTCTCACGAGATACCTGCGAGTTGAACTTGGGAAGCCAAGCTCTCCATTTCCTAAGGACCATTAGCGATAGAACTCGGAGATATAGAATATCATCAAACTTACACTTCGTATTGGAAAGTCTTCTTCCATTTTTGTCGACCAACAAGAGCCTCGACTTGCCGTCCTCCCTTGCCGTCACCGAGGTCTATCTTTTTGTCCATCTGCTCTCGGTCCTTGTCAGAAAGAATCCGAGTCTGCTTTAGGAAGACTTCGCGGTCGTCGCCATTAGCATATCGCCACTGGAGGTACTGGTTAGGCGTCTTCTCGAGGTGCATCTCCACGTGCTCTAAGGCATGTTGTTTAATGTAGCCGATTCGCAAGTTGGGGTGCTTCTCGACCCTTCCGGTGGTTGGAATCACTTCACCGGTCAACATCTTGATCAACGTGGATTTACCCGCACCGTTTGGACCAATCACCGCCACTCGGGAGGATAGAGTTAGTTGGCAGGAAACGTCGCTGAGAGATGGCTTTGGCGCATTCGGATACTGATATGAAACACCGGTCATCCGGATAATGGCGCGAGTTTGGGATTTAACACCGGTCAGTATTCCTGGTGGTGGAAACTTAAACTGGACATTGGAGGCAGAAAGAGTGTAGTAAGCCTTGGCCTCGGGGCGAACATTAACGAATGCGGAAAGGTTGCCCTTGAAATGTCCAAGTTTCTTTCCAGGCTCGTAGTGGTAGATGTCAGTCGTGACGTTGTCTAGGAAACCGGAGTCATGAGAGACAATCAAGCTGGTGATATCCGTATGACTCTTCAAATAATTTTCCAACCACGCGATGTTGGCCACGTCAAGATGGTTAGTAGGTTCGTCGAGGAGAAGGACATCGGCTTTCTGCAACATAGCCCGAGCCAGCGCCAACTTCATCTTCCACCCTCCTGACAAAGACCCAACCTTTTGAGCTTGTCTTCCTTCAGGACCAGCAGTAAAACCGAACTCAGCCAAAACTTCTGAGATTCGTTCCCTGCCTTCAGAAGCGATTGTCGGATCCTTGACCATGAACTCCAGGATGCTGATATCAGCATCCTCACCCTGGTTGTGCTCGACGTAGCAAGTACGGAGAACATCTTGTGGAGGGAACCCTTCCAACTTGCCACCAGCAATACTCTTCATGAGAGTCGACTTGCCAGCTCCGTTGCGTCCACAGAGACCGTATCGGTGACCTTTCAAGAGTCGTAGGTTGGTATGGGACAAGAGAAGCATGCCACCGTACGCAAGTGAGAAGTCTGCGTTGACGATCTCGATCTCACCATCATCCTCTTTCTCCGGGACACCATACTTGCGCTCATCTTCTGCCACATAATGCTGATGAACAGCCGAAGCGATAGCATCGCTAGCCCCGGACTGGTGCATTAAATCCTTTAGGTAAGGTGAGATTCTGCCAGGGATTCTGCTAACTTGTCGGTGGTTTGCATCCTCAGCGACCATCTCGCAGATGTAAGGGCGGGCTTGCTTGTAAAAGTCAAGATCGCCCGCCAGACCTCCGTTGTTTTTTATCTCGGCATCAAGAACTTTAGCGACGTCGTCGGCAGATGTTCTTTCCACGACAGCCTGGTCATTACCCATGGCTTTGTCCATAACATCCAAAGCTCTTGTGGCTAGTTCACGAACCTCCGGTAGAGGCGCACGTTCCGCAACGCTCTTGATACCAGGCTGAAGCTTCGGCAAGAAAGTTCGGGCCTCGATAGGATCGTGTACTAACTTTGTCAAATTCTCGGTGATGACAACGGACTGCCGTAAAACCTCCTGGGTGGTAGAAGGATTGTTGAGGGTTCGTTCAAGGAAAGGAGTAAGGAGGGCGAGGACAGGAGAAGTCACAATGGCGACAAAGGTTGTCTGAGAGAGGGCATGGATGGCCTTCTGGAGAGTCTGAGTCGACGGGTGGTGCAGAGTGTCGATGAGGAGGGGGATTCTCGGGGCGACATCGTCGTTGGAAAGAAGGGTGGTAAGCGAATGCATGGTAATGACGGCTTGCTTTTCGACGTCGGCCTTCAGGTCGTGCATGTTATCTTCCACAATGGGAATCAAGCTGGCCAATTTGGCACCCATTGCCTCCCTGAGGAGGTCCGTCTCCTGCGCCTGCTCCTTGCTCGAGCCAATTTCCATCTTTGCTTTGTCGGCCATCCTCTGCATCAGCTTCAAGGCACCAATGGTACCCTGCCATTTCCCGGACTTCTTGGAGAGGTAGGCGACAAGAGCTGGCAACAGACCAACAACCATGGCCTCGGCACTCAGGTGGCCGAACAAAGCATCGAGCCCATATTGCGCAGCGTCGCGAACAACAGTGCCCTTGTCCGACAGGGCATCTAGAGCACAAGCGACCATACCGCCATCCTGTAGCAGAAATACGACTTCGCTCAGGGGTTGTCTAGATGGAAACTTTTCGAGTAGCGCACCCAGGAGATTCTGTGCGCTCTCACGTCGCAAACCGCTCTTCTTGTCGGCAGCAGCCTTCTTGATCTCAGCGAGAACACCATAATGTTGGAGGCCCCGGAAGCCGATGGAGTTTAATAGAAGTTCGCATAGCGCATAGCATGCTTCGATCGAGGAGGAAGAGGTTTTGGCGGTGAATATGGTATCGAGGATAGATGATACATCTTCTTGCGACGGGAGAGAAGCGTCGCCGGATTTGGTGATCATTATCGGGGGCGGTACTGGGTGAGGCATCGTGGAAGATGCGTCTGTCGAGAGACGAGGAGGGAAGCAAGGAAGCAGCGGAATTGAAGTGGTGGTTGAATATAAAGGTAAAAAGCGAAGACGAGTACTGGTGGCGGAAATAGAAACCAGCAATCGCCCAAAATGCCCTCGTCTTGGGCGGCGATGGAAAAAACGGTAAACTTTCTTGATGGACGAAAGGAGAGAAAAGCCAGATAACTTTAAATTTCTCCTTATCAAAAGTCTGACCCCTCGAAATTTTTCCTTATCAAAGCGTTGTGGCCCAGTACTGCCAAGATCGACTAGGTACCTAAGGTTATACATCTATCGGGGTACGAAATATATCGGATAAAGTGTTGTCCGGATTATAATTAGTACTACTAGTGCACAGTTTAGGTTAAACCATTAACCTTTCCACTTCTTAAAGTTCTGCATTCATTGATGCCCCGTAGTTTAGGCTTACAAGAGAGAAACTACGGATCCATTGGATGTTGGGTTGGTAGCGCACAGCATAAACAAGACAAACCTTATGTCAGGTGAGACGACATAAAAAGGAGGCCGTATCTGCATATCGATAATTGATACTAAAGAGTTCTAAGGGATTACACCAAAACATAAGCTCAAAGGAGGCAATATAGCCTCTACAGATTTGTCTTGTCTCAGCGAAAACACCAAAAGATTCACATTATGGAAGATTGCCAACTAATCGAGGCATCAAGAATACATCCTCTGTACTTGCGGACCAAGTAGGT